CTAAGCGCTTTAACCTTTCCTCATAGGGAAAGTGTTCCAACCCTTTTATCATTCGAGTTGCCCTTTTCTGCACTTTTTCCAAAGCTATAATATCTTTTTTAACGTGTGGTGCCCAGAACTGCACACAGTATTCCAAATGAGGTCTCACCATTGATTTATATAGGGGCATTATTATATTGGCTGATCTGTTTTCAATACCCTTCCTAATAATCCCCAGCATAGCATTGGCCTTTTTTATTGCAGTCACACACTGTCTCGACATTTTCAGTGAGTTATCCACTACAACTCCAAGATCTCTCTCTTGCTCAGTCTCTGCCAGTTCAGACCCCATCAATGTGTATTTATATTTAGGATTTTTGGCTCCAATGTGCATCACCTTGCACTTGGCCACATTGAACCCCATTTGCCATGTTGACGCCCACTCGCCCATCCTTGACAGATCCCCTTGGAGTGCCTCACAATCCTCACTGGTTTTCACCACCCTGAACAACTTCGTATCATCCGCAAATTTAGCCACTTCACTGCTTACTCCCATCTCCAAATCATTTATGAACAAGTTAAAAAGCAGTGGACCAAGTACTGATCCCTGCGGTACCCCACTGCTTACCCCCCTCCACTGAGAGAACTGCCCATTTATACTCACTCTCTGTTTTCTATTAATTAGTCAGTTTTTGATCCATAAAAGGACTTGTCCTTCTATCCCATGATTTTTTAGCTTACTTAGGAGCCTTTGATGAGGAACTTTATCAAAAGCTTTCTGGAAGTCAAGGGATCCCCCTTGTCCACATGTTTGTTCACCCCCTCAAAGAACACTAACAGGTTAGTGAGACAAGATCTTCTGTGTCATTATACTCCACTTTTGCTAATCGGTAGGAAAGGGGATAAAGTGCTGCTCTAGCTTTCCCCCCTAGCAATCCTGATGGGAATTCACTGCCACAGGAGGTGGCGGCAGCTACAAGCATGGACGGTTTCATTAGGGAATTAGATAAGCATATGGAGCAGAGGTCCATCGGTGGCTCTTTTTGTTGTTGTTCAGTCGCACAGTCGAGTCCGACTCTTCGCGACCCCATGGACCAGCTCCCACTAGGCCTTTCTGTCTTCCGCCGTCCTCTGAAGTTGGCTCAATTTCATGTTCGTTGCATCTATGACACTGTCCAACCATCTCATCCTTTGCCGTCCCCGTCTTCTTTGACCTTCAATCTTTCCCAGCATCAGGGTCTTCTCCAGGGAGTGCTCCCTTCTCATTTGGTGGCCAAAGTATTTGAACTTCAGTTTCATTATCTGGCCTTCCAGGGAACAGTCAGGGTTGATTTCTTTTAGGATTGACTGATTTGATCTTCTTGCAGTCCAAGGGACTCTCAAGAGTCTTCTCCAGCACCCATAGTTCAAAAGAATCTATTCTTCGGCGCTCAGCCTTCCTTATAGTCCTATTATCCTATGGGGATAATAGGACTATAGGACTATAAGGATAGCATAGGATAGCAGCTATTAGCCACAAGGTATAGATAGGGACTCTCAGTCTGGGGCAGGTGATGCTCTGTATTCTTGGTGCTGGGGGGGGGGTTCAACAGTGGGAGGGCTTCTAGTGTCCTGGCCCCACTGCTGGACCTCCTGATGGCACCTGATAGTTTTGGCCACTGTGTGACAGAGTGTTGGACTGGGTGGGCCATTGGCCTGATCCAACACTGGCTTCTCTTATGTTCTTATGTTTGAATGAATAAGGTGCCTTCGAGTCACAGCTAATTCACGATGATCCATCTGCAGGGTTTCCAAGGCAAGAGAGGAGTGGGGGGTGGTTTGCTATCGCTTTCCTCTGGATAGCAACCCTGGTTTTCCTTGGTGGTCTCCGATCCAAGTACTAACTGTGGCCAACCCCGCTTAGCTTCCAGGTTCCGGCAAGATCAGGTTAAGCTGGGCTATCTGGTGGTGGTGGTGGAGGAGGAGGAAAGGGTGGTCAATCACAGCCAAGTTATGGTGACCCCATCCCTAGACAAGAGACAAACTGAGGGGGTTTGCCATTGCCTGCCTCTGCCTAGCGACCCTGGACTTCCTTCCTTCCTTGGTGGTCTCCCATGCAGGTACTAGCCAGGCCCAACCCTGCTTAGGTTAGCTTAGACTAGGTTAGGTTAGACTAAGCTGAACTATTCAGGTTACCTCCCCCCATTAAGTTGCCCTCCACAAAGTCTTTCTGGTTTTCATCACCAGCAACAATGAAATCTTACCTACAAGTAGCTGCAAGTTTTGTTTTTGGGTCTTTTTTTTGGGGG